GGAAAAGGGATTGCTGGAAAAAAGGGGATTGCAGTGTTGCCATCTCTCTTTGGGGGGGGGGGAGTGACTTCTCACTTTTCCTCTCTGTCTCTCTGGTGAGTGCATGTGCTTAGGGCAAAAAAAAAAAAAAACAAAACAAAAAAACAAAAAAAACAAACAAACAAAAAAAACTGAAAGAAAATAAAAATATCTAAGAAGATAGACTTTACTTACATTAAGTGTTCCCCTCAAGGCAAACCTCAGATTACACTATCCTGCATGTATAAGAATATTTGTGGAAGCCACAGAACAGACATTTGAAAAATCATGATTATTCTGGAACATATGGATGTTATTCCGGAACATATGGATGCAGCCTTGATGTGACTGTTTTAAACTATTCAGTGACTGATACAGTCTGAGGAATGCATCATTAGATGATTTTGTGGTTGTGCTAATATCATAGTGTGTACTTACACAAACCTAGATGGTATAGCCTATTACACACTTAGGCAATATGGTTTTTATAACCTACATGCTGCCTTTTGGACCACTGTCATATGTAAAGGTCGGTCGCTGACCAAAATGTTATTATGGGGTGCAAGACTGTTGTGGGAGAGGGGTGAGATGGTGAAAGAGAAGGAAGGGGATCTGAGGGGACCAGTGACATTAGAAGACCTTCCAAGTAAAAACTAGGTGAAAAAGTATATCAGTGTATCAACAACTATGAAGCTTGTTGGCAGCTCTTACAAGGGCTAGTGGTTAACCTCAGAGGTTTTAGGCCAAAGTACTTGAGTTTTCTTTCTGGCATCAAAATCCAGGAACTTGGCCTGTTTTCCTCTCTGACACTTTTTATTGGGATTCTAAATTCCCTAAGATAAGAAAAGCCAAAACCAGCAAGTGATGAGGCTGGGATTCACGCCCAGGTCTCAGTTCTTTCCATAGCACTGTGGGAAGAACTTGGTAAGGAGACAGAATTAGGGGCAGAAAGAGAACTGAGACTGGGAAGGGGGATGAAAAAAGGAGAAAATGGAAAAGAATAGGGAAAAATCTTATAGTCCTTGGATACCTAGTAGTCCATGAATTGGCACTAAAATGTCTGTGAACCCTTTACAATTATAGTTTTCATGTAATTTTTTTTTTTTTTTTTTTACAGCTAGAAGGTTAGTGGCTTCATCAAATTTTCAATTTTTTTGAGAGTTTTTTTTTTTTTGGCTATAGGGCATGTGCACTCACCAGAAAGGCAGAGAGAGAGAGAAAGTGAGAAATCACCCCATAGAGGGGATGGCCACGCCGCGATCCCTTCTCCTACATTCCCCTCTCAGGATCTTGGGCACGCATACACACACGTGCCTGGTGTGAGTTTAAGGAACCGGGTCTGGAACTCAAATCACAGTCGACTACATGGGAGTCCAGTGACATAGCCATTATGCCAACTGCTGATTCCAGCTTCATCAAATTACTTGGAAATAATTTTGAACCCCTTACTGAGCTGGGGAGTTTATAGTAAATTCTGATGAAGCTTTTTTAAAATTAATTTATTATTTTTAAATTTATTTATTTATTTTTAACTTCATTTTCTTTTATACAGTCAATCACATTATTTAGCTTACAAAGTGAATATTTTAATATGTGAACATTTCTCCCTAGTCTAGTTGACTAAACTATTAAAAAAAAGTATTTGTTTTTTTCTTAAACTAGGGAGAGGGAGAAGAGAGCTCTCCTTGAGCTAAATAGGAGTTTGGTTATAGGCAAAATGATGAAACAGGCCAATTTTCTTCTGTGAAAGCTTAATTCTTTTTCCAGAATTATAGGATTATGTAATTATTTGGATTCAGTGTCGATTGTTAGACAAAGTTGTGAAATATTAAAGCTCAGTAGATTCTAAGAACAGAGTATTACAATGTTTTACAAAGTTTTTGAAAGTACAGTTTGGTTTTACAACCCTCTGTGTAGCTCTCAAAATAACCTTAAAGATTTGGAACATGAGTTTTGACACAAGGTATGGAAAAGGATGACCATGTTTGAAAATAGGATGGTCTTGTAGAAGGCAGGGTAGGGATCTGTTATCCACTGATAGTTTTGAGGAGGTTGGCAAACTACTTACTGCAAGCCAAATCTAGCCTGCCTCTTCTTTTTGTAAATAAACTTTTCTTTAGACATAGCCACACCCATTCATTTACATACAAATGGTTGCTATTGGTTACAAGGGCAGCGTTGCAAAGTTGCTGCAGGGATCCTATGGTCCCAAAGGCTGAAATATTTCTGTCTGGGCATTTACAAAAAAAAATGATAATAATAAAACAAATAAATAAATATATTGTCAATACTGATCAAGAATCTGTTTATGAGGGAAACTTGAAAGCACTTGTACCAATTTTCATATATACCTTATTTTTCAGAATATGTGTACCATGTCCATCAATATTGGGAATCTATGTGTATGTGGCTCTGTGTTTACACAATTATCCATAAATGTTGGGGTAATTTGGGGATAATTATGCAGTTTGACTGCATAACAAATCTTCCCAACATTTAGTGTCTCATCATCATAATTTATTCCCTTTAGAGAACAACCTTATACTTTAAAAACTACCATGGTACATATTCAAATGGTTCAAATTGGGAAGCTCAATGGGCAAGAATAATTTTTCTGGCTGCAATTGAAGAATTAAAAGTATTATTTTTCCTGTTGTGTTTTGAGCTATTAATCATTGCCAGCTATAATTTTTCTCACAGATTCTTCACTTCCAAGGCCAATTTTCATTTAAGTAAGTACTGAATATCTGAGTGGTGCTATACAAAATATTTTCCCATGTATATTATCCCAAGCAACTATGAGGTAGGCAGGGTAGGAATTATTATCCAGCATCAACTTTCCTTTGTTTTCTAATAAATCACTGAGGCCTAGGGAACTTGAAGTGACCTCTCTTGGTCACATGGTTAATTAGAGTCAGAGTGGGGGTAGGCTGTCACAATTGCTAGCCTTTGGAATCACACTGCTGTTTATTTTTGTTATGTATTTTGTTATGAAAGCATGCATTTGTAATATTTCAGAGATTGTAGAATATAATTTATTTTTAAAAATTGTTTTATTTAACTTTATTTATTTTTATTTGACCAGAAAGGGACAGAGTAAGAGAGAGAGAGGGAAAGCTAGAAAGCAAGCCACTAGGTCCAGGACTCAAACCATGATTGGTTATGTGGGAGTCCAGTGCCCTTAGCCCCCATGTCACCTGCTGGCCCCATAGAATATGAATTTCTATTAATCTATAAAATAAGGAAATTATTAATTTTGTAGGATTGTAAGGATTGATGATTATGTATGAATCTGCTGAGTACAGTGCCTAGTATCATCACATAAACACTCTTTGTAAATGGTAGCTACCATTATTATACTTTTTCCAGAATTATGGGATTATGCGATTATTTCGATTATTATTATTTTTTATTTGCCATAGGGCTCGGGCACTCACTGGAGAGAGAGAGAGATAGAGAAAACCCTCCCGAAGGTCATACCCACGCTGCATTCCCCTCTCCATTTTCCTCTCTGGATTTTGGGCACTCATACATGCTTGCCCAGCTTGTTTTCCAAGCCTCCATTTCCAGGATTTGAACCACACACTCGACCTTGTGGGATCCAGCTGCCTTAACCACCATGCCATTGGCTGGCTCCTATTTTTTTATTAGAATAAAATATCAATATTTCATTATTATTTTTTTTGGCCAGGTTTTTGCTATAGGGCGCGTGCGCTTGCCAGAAAGACAGAGAGAGACAGAGAGATAGAAAGCGAGAAATCACCCCCCAGGGGGGATGGCCACACTGCAATCCCTTCTCCATTCTCCTCTCAGGATCTTGGGCATGCACGCACATGCACCTGGTGTGAGTTTAAGTCACCAGGTCCAGGACTCGAACCGTGGTCGGCTACATGGGAGTTCAGCGACATAGCCATTATGCTAACTGCTGGTCCCCTCAATATTTCATTCTTAATTTTTTTTTAGTGAAATAAGTTTAAAAGCATTATTTATCTACTGTGATTGCACTTTTCTTCCATGGGGAACCACATGAAATTGCTTCAGATCAAAGCAACTGATTTTCATTTTGTTTAACTATGCAGAGATTCTTTGAAATAAAAGAATTGTGTATCAAATTCAAATACAGTGCAGCTTCAGTGTTCAGTTACAATTTTTTTTATTACAGGTATCATTTACTTTGGTAAATTCATACCCCAATTTAAAATGCCCCAAAGCAAATAAAACTTTGTTATAAATTCAAGTACTGTATTTTAAATGTACATGATATACACACATAGCTGCATAGTGGGATTACCATCACAAGCAGTTACATTCATGATGCCCAGTACTATTTTTAACACTGCAATAGATTACATGAGATATATATAGCTTTATTATGACCACTGTTGCTTATTACGGTAACTGTAGTACAGTAGCTTATATGATTGCATTTTGAAAGCGTTAATAAAGTTAGTAGCACTTAGCTAATATTGAATGAAACATTTTTATGTATAGGATGTGTTTTCGGTCAGACACTTATGCAAGAATAAGCATTTAACATGCTGTTGTATCCTTGACAAAAATAAAATCATCCCTTTTCACCAAATAGAATAAGCCAGGCTAAAGGGAATCTGAAGTCACTGAAACAAACATTTTAAATGTTATATCCCTGTATTATGTTAAATATTATTTAATATAATTTTCTCCTGGTTAAAACATAGTCATAGCTATAGCCCTTAGATGATACTTCAGCTGGAAAAAAAGTATGGTGAGTTGTACTCAACCATTTTTTTCTGCTTAGGAAGAAAATTAATAGCCTATAAATTTCTAACATTTTAAAACAGGTACTTATTATTTCAGGTCTTAAAATAAATATACCTGTATTAAACAAATTAGGTTGTTCTAAAAACTTTGCATCAATACTTCACTTATTCACAGATATATTTTCTATCCATATTTATTACAGTTCAAACAATTTAAAAACAAATCCTGCAAGTGCTCTTAGCTTAGATAACGATACAGTTATCCTAGTTCACACAAATGATTGCAAGAAATATTTATAATATTTCATATAGTAGTTTACCTAAGACTGATAGCAAACACTCTAATCACTTTTAACTTTATAAGTGGAAAAATTGGGTAAGAGGTTGGATCATTCTGTCTGAGTAACTACCTTTTCGACTTGCTTTTCATTTTTTGTTTGTGTATCTGGTCTCTGATTCTTTTTGTGTGTGTGCGCAGGCAAGATACAATCTTTAAAGTTCTTTAATTGAAGTAACTCTTCTGGAAATTAGATACTGATTACAGAAAAACTTTCAGATGTAGATTAACTTAATTTTACTTAATTATCAGTTTAGCATTGGGGTATGTTCTCTAGTTTGCTCAGAACTGCTCATGGAAAAGAACTCTTCTTATTTTTCTTAGTGTACAAATGATTGTCTCAAAGGCAAAATTCCTGGTTAAGTGAATAGTGAGTCTTTCTTTAAAAAAATCATTTAGAATTGCTTTCTTTTTTAAGTAGAACAAACTTTTTAGCTTTAACCAGTTATGGAATAATGAATAACTGTGTGATCTTAAAACGGTCATATTCAGGTGATCTATTTTTTTCTTGGAGTATTCAGCTACTGAGGGAAATTATAGACTTAACTAAACCAGCTTAATGCTGACTGTCCCTGATAAATTTCAAGGGAAAAGACCATTTGGAGAATAAATAAAATAGAAACCATACTGAATTATTGATTCTATTTTTTAAGCTCTCCCTTTCCAAAAAAATATATCCTAATTGGATTCAGAAAAACTTTGTCCCATAGTACTGTTTTTTCTTTTTACTGAAGAGAATCACACGTTGATTGTAACATTTTCCATACGTACTTAATAACTTACATTTGGGGACAGAAGGGGGTGAGCACAACCCACCTTGGTCCATCCTAACGTAATTTTCAAGTCAGGTCAAATACTATCTTTGGATTAATTAGCTGTTGCTGGAGGTTTGATAGAAGGGATACTGCATGATCGTCTCATGATAAGCCTGACTTCTATATCTGGTAGATTATCTTGCTTAGTCTGTAAACATCCTTCATCAGTGGCTGCTAGATGAAGATCAAATCGAAGAGAAACAGATTTTTTCCTTAATTTAGGATTATCTTTAAAGAAGGAACCTTCCCATTCTTTAATAACTTCATCCACTTTCTCTGTCCTGAAATGAAAACAAACAAACAAAACTTTTGATATTAAGAAGTATGGGTATATTAAAATATGTAATAAATATTCTATATCTATGAAAAAGAAACCAAGAAATTTGTATTATTTGTAGTTTGTGGAATCTATCATTTACATATTTTAAAAGTCATATAATATCTAAAGAATTTTGTGAAATTTCTATGAAATTCTCATGTTTTGGATGTATTTTTAAGGAAAAAACCAAATTAATGATTGAATAGTCTTTCATCTGAGTGTGTGTGTGTGTATGTGTGTGTGTGTGTGTGTGTATTCATGTCATATTAAAAATCACAATATATTGGGACCAGCAGTTGTCATAATGGCTATGTCACTGGACTCCCATGTAGTCAACTGCAGTTTGAATCCTAGACAGGTGGCTTAAACTCATGCTGGGCATGTGTGTGTGGATCCCAAGATCCTGAGAGGAGAATGGAGGAGAAGGGATTGCGGAGTGGCCATCCCCCCTGGGGGGTGATTCCTCACTTTCTGTCTCTCTCTTTCTGGCGAGCACACGTGCCCTATAGCAAAAACCTCTCCAAAAAATAAAAATAAAGTAAATAAATAAAATCACAGTATATTGAGGCCAGCAAGTGGCATGGAGGTAAAGGCACTAGACTCCCACACAGCTGACTATGCAGTTTGAGTCCTAGACCTGGTGGCTTGAAAAATCACACTGGGTGAGTGTGTGTGTGTGTGTGTGTGTGTGTGTGTGCGCGCGCGCGCGTGCGTGCTTAAAATCCCAGGAGGAAAATGCAGAAAAAGGGACTGCAGTGTGGCCATTCCCCCTGGAGAGATTTCTCACTTCCCTTCTCATTGTCTCTCTCTTTCTCCATTGCACGCAGGCACCCTGTGGCAAAAACCAGAAAAAAAAATCACAAAATATTAAAACTATAGGGAACCAGCAGTTAGCGTAATGGCTATGTCACTGGACTCCCATGTAGTCGACCACGGTTCGCGTCCCGGACCCGGTGGCTTAGAACTCACGCCGGGCGCGTGTGAGTGCGTGCCCAAGATCCCGAGAGGAGAATGGAGGAGAAGGGATTGTGGCGTGACCATCCCCCCTGGGGGGTGATTTCTCGCTTTCTGTCTCTCTGTCTCTCTCTGTCTGTCTGGAGCGAAAACCTCTCCAAAAAAAAAAAAAAAATTAAGACTATATAGTGAAGCATTCAGATGTAGAAGAGTAGTTACTAGAATTACACAATTGAATTTAACTTCTTTACATACATTTATGATTATTTCTGTCAGAATTATTTGACTTACTGGATAGTGCCATGAGCCTCAGTGCTCTCCTTTACAACATTTCCATTTAATATCGCCTGTTTGGTCACTGTTTCCACTTTTTCATTCTCATACCTTTGTGGGACTTTTGTTGAAAAAGATATTTCATTTATAATAGCTGAAAAAATGATATTTATGATATATTAAATTACAACATTGAAGTACTGTTCACAGTCAAATTAGAAGTCCAACATTTATTCAAATATCACTTTTTCTTTTTGCTACTCTTATTTCCTTATAATCTCTGTAAATGGCACTTCGGTTTTCAAGTTAATTTATATCAGAAACTCACCTGAAGGTAAAACAAAACCAACTCTACTCGTGGTGGGTTTTTGGTCTTTTTTCCCACCTTGGATACAACCATAATATCTGAAATTGGAAAGAATTACATTATAGAACAACACTGTATTAGCAAATACTAAAACAATTAAGGAAATGGATAAATTATATAGTCCTGTCATGGAAATGTTATCTAGTGGTGAAAATACAAAGCAAAGGCTACGCCATATTTTATGGATGACTCTCTCAAGCATAACATTGAATGAGAAAGCAAAGTAAGCTGCAGTTCACAAAGGTTTAAATAATATGCAAAACAGTTTCACACTTCGTTTAGGAATACACACGTGTTACTGTAAAGAAATGTACAAAACTATCAAATCCAGGAGCCACGTTAGGCAGCGGGAGAACGTGTGATTGAGAGTTGTGATTCAAGTGCCCAGGATACTTCAAAGACACTAGAAACTCTTCTTGCTTTTCTTTTCTTTTTTTAAGAAACATTTTCCTTCTTAAATTAGAGGAAGTAGGTATGTGCCCGGCGTGCGTTTCAAGTCTCTGGGTTTGGAACTCGACCACGGTTGGCCTGGGGGGAGCCCAGTGAATTAACCACTATGCCACTTGCTATCCCCAAAGACTGATTTAGCAACATCTTGAATGGTTAGGAGTTAAAAAGAATTTACAACCATTTATTTTGCTTTACTATACATATAGTTACATATATTCAGATATAAAATATTTTGCTTAACTATAAATATAGTTACATATATACATATATATATATATACATACATACATCTGTCTATCTCTCTATATATATATTATATAGTGTCTACAATGTGCCAGATATTGTGTTAAGCACCTTAAAAACAACTTATTTAATTCTCACAGCAATCCCATGAAGTAGTATTCCCATTTTACAGATTAAAAAACCCCAGAGGTATAGCGAGCTTAAGTAACTTGCCCAAGGTCACTCAGCTAGTAAGTGGTATAATTTGAGTTCACTTTATGCTTTTCAAAGAGTTAGTAAACATCAAGACTTATTATAGGGTAAAAAGTTCTTGCATCAAATTTTATAGAGGACTCAGAATTCAGAAACAAGCTAGAATAAAAGTTTCATTTTATGGGAATGGGAAGAATTGGAAGTCATGCCATGGTAAAAGCTATACAGTCTTATAAGTGATTATGATATTGTGGGAATTAATACAAATTTCTTTTGATATCTTTTATTTATCAGGACATCTGGAAATCTATTAAATCATAACTCAGAAAAATATTGCTTTCCATGGTTATATAATCATATTATTATTATTATTTTCGTGTTTGATGTATGATGAGGGGAATTGAGAGGAGGGGTTGTGGTGATACGTAAATTTTCTAAGCTTTTTTGTGGATGGTCCATAGGAGGCAAGGACTCATCCTAAATGATATAAATGGTAAGGAAAGTGAGAAAGCTAAAAATGGTCATTTTTGTAGAGATGGAGCATCATTTGCATTTTGTTCTGGCCGACTTTGTACTAGCTGATTGTGGCTATTGGGCTCCTAATTTTAGAAGGCTGGAAGCAGGCCTTCACATACTCTCTGCAGTGCCTACTAATCCCATCTTACTGTAGGAGCTCAGTGAGTATGCCATGGTGACAATAGCTTTTTTAGATTTAATTTCTTTGACTGCATCAACAACGACATGGTGGCTCTGTATTTCTAGCCCATTGTCATGCACTACATGCAGTTAGGTACCTGATTTCTTCCTTTTCTAGGAGGCGGCGGTAAGTGGCTATTTCTTGTTCCAGCCTCATCTTCGTATTGAGAAGCATCTCGTGCTCTTGAAGCTGCTTTTCAATGCCACGCCTTACTTCCAGCAGTTCCTTCTCCAGTCCTTCAATCACGGCCTCCAGGTCTTGCAGCTGCATCTGGTAATGCTGCTCACTGGCGTGCAGAGAGTTTTCAAGACCCCTCTCCTGTTGGTTCAGATCCTCATTAGTGACAAAATGTGTCCCTCAATCTGACCTGCAATGCCTTTATTCTATTGTGTCCTGTTAGTTCTTTCAAAAAGTTGCAATATGGGCTAGCCCAGTAGCCTGGTAGTTAAGGGGAGCCAGATCCCACATGGCTGACCAAGGTTTGAATCCCACCCCAGGGACTGGGAAAACACCTAGAATCTGTGCATACATGCTCCAAATCCCAATAGGATGGAGAAATGGAGATGAGATTGTGTTGTAATCATGCGCCATTGGGGGTGCTTTCTCTCTTTCTTTCTCCTCTCTTTTTCTGACTAGTGCACATGCCCTCTGGCCCCAAACAAAGACTGTTGTGATAATTATATCTCATTAAGCAAGAGGTATTTGCTTAAGCTTTGTGTGTCATCCAACATTTTCAAGATATGTGTGTGTGTGTATGTATTGAGAGAGAGAGAGAGAGAGAGAGCAGTTACCATATTTCAGAAGAATTCTGTGATAATTTCCATAGCAAAAAACTTCTCTGCAGTGTGATTAACTTGTTAAGTTGAATGACTTTTTGAATTCATGATATTGTATGTGCATATAAGAGCGAGAGTGAGAGAGAGAGAGAGAGAGAGAGAATGAACCACCCATGTCAGGGTCTCATCACACTGTGATCCCCTTTCTCCAGCCCTCCCAGCTTGTCAGAATCTTGGCATATGTGTGCCCCTAGTGGTTTCAGATCAACTGAGCAGGAGATCTGAACTGCCATTGGCTGTGAGGCTTCTAACCTGCAGTTCAGTATGTTACCAACTGCTCCACCAGCTGTGGCCTAATTTCTATTTATTTATTTATTTTTAGGTTTTTTGCCATAGGGTGCATGTGCTTGCCAGGGAGAGACAGAGAGGGGGAAAGAGAGAAATCACCCACCAGGAGATGGCCACTCCTCAGTCCCTTCTCTTCTGGTCTCCTCTCAGTACTTTGGGCATGCACACACACATACACACACACACACACACACACACACACACACACACACAGAGCATGATTTTTAAGCTGTTAGGTTCAGGACTGTTGGCTGTGTGAGAATTCAGTGCCTTAACCACTGTGCCACCTGCTGGCCCCTGGGACCTGATTTTTTAAAAAATATTGAAAATATAGTATGTCAAATATAAAAACTAGAGCAGACTGCTTATAAAAGGCATTTTAGGAAAGTGCTTGAATACCTTTCTATTAGAAGTCTCAGTGATGTGGAAGACTCCCCACTGTTAAGGCTGTAGATAATAAATGCTCTCTTTTCCCACTTCAGCAACCACAGAACATCAGGGTGATAAGCAAGTGTGACTTCATTTTTATGGGTGTGAACTAAACCTTGAGTGAGTCCCTATCAGCCACTGCCAGGAGGGAGGGCGCAGGGGCAGGTAATTAAAGGAACTAGAATTGGGCAGACTTTGGTGGCCCTGATTTCAGTTTCTCCCTGTAAAGTAATGAGTGCTATTCCTTTCTCTCTCTTAATCAAGTAGCATCTGTGGTCTCAGTGGGCCTTTACGGTCAGGGTCCTCACCACAGCATGGAGAGACTCGATTTCCACTTGCAGGTGGTGCCACTGGCGTCGGGCTTCCTTGAGTTCTGCTTGAGCTGCCTTTAAAGCCTCTTCATCTTTGTCCATTTTTTTGCTTAAGTCTTCTTCTAGCTAGAAGAGAACCAACAACAACAATAGACAAAAACAGTTCTGGAATAGAAGCTGTTTAAAATAAATGACAGAAAGGTTGTATAAAAATTAATTTTTTAAATCGTGAGAATAAAAATATGTGTCCTAGTGCTTAGTGACTAATTAATTATGTGAGCAAGTCACAGCCTCAGGTTTTTCCAGGGCTAAATGATGTCCAAAGTCCCTTCAAATATGACAAACTATGAAATATGGAAAATAATCTATTTTAACAAAAAGAAATAGTTTGTAGAACATAAATTTGTGATCTCTGATTCTTAACTTTCCATTATTTATGAATCATTAAAAAAGAAGAATGAAAATTAGCTACTGTTTCTCTGATGTGTTCTTATAGGCTGCTTTATCGAAGCAGATTAATATCTGTATCTATAATCTATCTATCTCTAGATAGGTACCTATACATAAATAATAGATAACATCTTTATATAGATAGGTAGTAGATATATAATATATCCAAAATTGATCGATTCTGGGACTGGGTGTATGGACAGGGGTTAAATACTGCTGGAAAGAATATTCCTTTAGTTATTTTTTAGTTATTATAGGCACTAGGGCTTTGAAATGGAATTCTGTGGGCCAGCTGGTGGCTGGTGGTTAAGGCGGCTAGATCCCACGTGGCTGACTGAGCAGTTGGAGTCCCATGTCTAGTGGCTTGGAGAAAACAATGGGCACATGTGCTGACTGTGCCCCAAATCCCAAAAGCAGAAATGGAGGAGAAGGGATTAGAGGCATGACTATCTCTCAGAAAGGGTGCTTTATCACTTTTCTTCTCTTTCTGTTTCTCTCTGGAGAGTGCAAATGCCTTTCAGTAGATTTTTTTTTTTAAAAGGCATGTATTAAGAACACTCACTGTTGAGTTAACTTTTTAAAAATTGATGTTTTTAGAAGACATTAATTTTGAGTATGTGGAGCAATTACAAAAATGACATATTTAAAAATTGTTTTCAGGGCCAGCAGGTGGTGTGGTGGTTAAGGTGCTGGGCTCACACATGGTTGACTCAGTGGTTAGAGTCCATGACCCAGTGGCTTGAAAATCACACTAAGTGCATATGCATGCATGCCCAAAATCCTGAGAGGAGACTGGATTGTAGCATGGCTGTCCCCACAAGGGATGATTTCTCACTCTTCCCAAGGCCTCTCTGTATGTGATCTAGGCTGGCTGAGGCTAGGAGTGGATCATGGTGTGAAGACCCAGTTAGGGGTGCCTGTCTCTCTCATAGAAGAAATAAATGAATAAAAATAAACTAAAAAAGTGAGATATTTTATATTCAGCTTTAAATATTTTAACAATGATGTCAGAATTTATCAGTTGACAGTTACCAGTATTTGACCCTAAGAACAGTAAGAGCAATGTACAGAATTGATTGCATTTTGAAGCAAAAATTACAACTTTTTAATGTTCATACACAAATATGTTTGAAATTTTAAAAAGCTATTATTATTATTTTGGGGGGGGGAGGTTTTTGCTATAAGGGTACATGTGCTTGCCAGAAAGACAGAGAGACAGAAAGTGGGAAATCACCCCTCTCGGGGATGGCCACACTGTAGTCCTTTCTCCTCCATTCTTCTCTCGGGATCCCAGGCATGCACACACACGCAACCGTATGTATATATATTTAAAGGAAACATTGGAATAAGTGAAAGTCTATGGATACAGTTTAAAGTATTAGAGAAAAATGGTATGTTTCTTTAAGTTTGTTGGTCACCTTCTCTTAGTGTTCTCTTGGAAAAGTCACACAGCAAGCAAGACATACCAGAACTACAATAGAGAATGTAAATAATTTTGGGAATATGAAAATATAATATCTCCACTGCCCTCTTGGATTTCAAGTATGGAACTGGTAGCTAAGCTTGTGTGGTAGCAATTCTCAAGATGGTGCCCAACAAACCACACCTCCCAAATTCATGTCCTCATGTGGTCCTCTTCCGTACTGAATCTGGGCTGACTAAATTCTCACTTTAACCAGCTGAACCTGGCCGAAATGATGCTGTGCCATTCAGGACTAGCCTGAAAAGTGTGGAAAACTACTCCTATGCTTTTGAGAGCCTTGGGCCAACAAGTAAGACGTTTGGATACCCTGTTGGAAGGACCATATAGACAGGCCAGATGGAGAGAGACTCTGAGGCTACAGAGTATGAGAGACTTGTCCCAGCTGAGCCAGCCTTCCAGCAAACCCCCTGCCAAAGTGCCAAACACATGAGTGAGCCACCTTGGAGATCCAGCCCAGTAGTGCCCTCAGACAATTGCTCCCTGCCAACATGCAGCAGAACAACCACTCCCACTAACCCCCGTCAACCCACAGAACTGTGAGAGAGAATAGAATGGCTATTTCAGTCCACTAAGGTTTGGGTGGTTTGTTACACAGCAATCGGTAGCCAAAACAGCTTATGCTTCTTTATTTTGTAATAATTAAATAAGCAGGCTTTCTTGAATTTATGCTAGCTGACATTGTGAATTATTTGGGAAAAATATGATTTTATGCTAAAAAATCACACAAAATTTTCTATAGTTTTACTTTTTCATTTCAACTTATTCATGTCAGTATTGTGACTTGTAAACTAAACTTGCATTTCTACTACTGAAAAATAAAGTGTTTACTTGGTTTATAATTTTCAGAAATTATAGTCTATTAATTTTTTTCTTCCTCTTTTTAAAGGTGAGTAAACTATTCCAACACTTGAATCAAATGTTTCAGCGACTTTGCTTGATCTAGAATACTGGTTATTCTTTATGAAGTCTGAAAAATGTTTCCCAGAGGTGAAATTTATGTTACTGAAAATGAGATGATAATGGAACAAAGTCCTGTGATTTCCTAGCAATATTTTCACTTCCAATGATGTTCTTAAGTAAACTTTTTGCTGTATTTCGGTGCTTGGAATAGAACTTGAACTCAGATATGATAGATAAACTTTTGAAAAACACTAAGAGTCTGAATCTTTGTTTCTAAAATATTAGTTTAGAAATTTATTTAAAGATCTGAGACCTTAACTAATTTCTAAAGGTGATCATCACTTAAAACTGAGTCTATAAAATGAGGTTTTAGCCTTTATCTAAGTTGGTCCTCTTTTGTTTTTTTTTTTTTGAATACTGAAATATTGCAAGCTTCGTATTGGAAACATTTCTCATTGTACAAAAGCAGAAATCTATAATCTAAGTGGAAAGTGCCTATCAATTTGGGTGATTTTGATTGTCATAATTTATATCATTGTTTCTGAATGCCACAGTCACAGACTCAGATGATTTCTATTTATAACAATCTATATAAAACCGAAGTCATTAAACTGATGTTAGAAATCTTTTAGAAACATTTTGCTCAGTTTTATCTCCAGAAAGGGAGCAGGCCAATAGATCTTAACTATAAAACTCTTTGCTTTAAAGCTATTATTTCAATGATCTCTATGCATAACTCCACAATATCTTTGAAGGGTATTGGAGATGGTTCCTTCCTGAAGAATATCTAAAAGAGGTTAGGGTGTACCATTTTATTGTACGTCGACCCCGTGTTTATTAGTGATAGTAACCTCATAATTCATATAAATGTCGAATGCATCACTCAACACTTACTTAATGACAATTTAACAGGCTAATCACAGTATTTCCCCCTGTCGTCCCAGTCACATTGCAGTACAACCTAAATTCCTTCCCCAGTATATGCTGCATGGAAAAGGAAATACTGTACCTCATAGAGGCCGGGACAGGAATTGGGTAGACATGGATTGTCTCCTTATCCTGGAAGGTGCCTGTCTGTATGAAATCATTACCTGGATCCTTGTTGAGAGCACCGTCTCTATCTGATTTCTGGTGAGGAGCTTTTCATAGTTTGCCCTGATCTCATTGAGTAGCTGGGACAGTTCCATTCTTTTCCCATCCTCCACCTTGGCTAACTGAACCTTATCGATAGGCTGAGTCGCTGCGGCAGAGCCTGCTCTGCCTGCGTCGTCGCTGAGAGCAGAGCTGAGAGCCCCACGGAGCCTTAAAGATGCAGAGCTCCTTTTTTGGCTGCCAAGATGTTTCCAATTAATTATGCAAATATATGGTAAACCCTTTGCTCCTACTGTTGGTGGACTGTGGTAGAAATGTCAGACACTCCATGAAGGAAAGGAAAATAAAAATGTCCTGCATTGGTGCCCTGTAAAACTGAGTACTGCAGGGGGAACGTTTACTTATTTTATGGAAAGGAATGGAGTATACCATAAAGGAAATTATAGTTAGTTTTCTTAAGATATTGCATGGAAATAAATATGGACCCCAAATATGCTAGTTAAAATGATCTTTCACAATTTTTTTAAAATTTGGATTCTTGAAACAGAAATTCTGTGATAGAGCATTAGAATATGTTGTGAACCTTAAATATTCTGATGGTCACTGGAGAAATTTATGGTCAGATTAAGTGGACAGTTGTCATTAGCCACAGGACTGAATGAGTATTTCTCTCACACGCATGCTGTCATATCTCAATACGTGGCAGACTGCTGGCCGATAGCAGAGTTTGATGTATTGAGGTGGATTTCTGTAAGCATATTACAGATGATGCTATAGCTCGAGATAAGTGCTACACTAAGTCTGAGAACGGCAAGTTCATATTTCCAATGTATTAACGGGACTGAAAAAATAGAGCCATGTGGCCTGTGGAGGGTGTATTCAGTGAAGCAGGATTTATAGTGGGAGTGCTCCTTCATTAGTAGATGAGTTGAGTTGTCTAGTTCATTACAACTCACACTTGGAAATGCAACGTTTGTGCAGCTCTTCTAACTTAAGAAAAGCACCTCGGCATCCATTGTTCCATCAAATCATCACCCGCACTGACATTGTGTGACCCGTAATGACTGGAAGACAGGCTGAAGGGGTTCAGGCAACTTGCCCAAGGTCAAGCATAATGTGGCTTCGCTGAGACTGAAACTTGGATTGCTTGGCTGTATTCCTTTTATTGCCCCATCTGCTTCTGTATTCTCTCTTTCCCCACTTAAATTCCTTGTTCAATCTGGCCAGCTTGTTGCTAGACATGTCGGAAATGTTTTGGAGAACAGATCTATCATTATTGCAATTTGGAGAGTGGGTTGGCTGATTTGTACCCAGAGCATAGTTGGGGTGGTCAGACCTTGCCTCTAGTATTCGCAGGGCTTTTGCATGAATCTTGCTCTTTTGATGTATGAGTTAATTCACTTCCGGCCAGGCTAGGCTGTGTGGGGCATTGTCACACTCTTCTCCCAACAAAGCTGGTGCACTCACAGCACCTGTGGAGAGGAGAGCTTCTGGGTCATTCCTGTGTGCTGTTTAACTCCTCCCACTCTCCCTACCAGTCACAACTTCACAGTCTACAGATTGGCCAGAGACCTGTAAGTTAGCCTGATGCAATAGCTCTAAGGAGGTTCACTGGTGATTGTCTAAACCAAAGTGATTCTCCTTCCCTCCCTCCCTCCCTCCCTTCCTTCCTTCCTTCCTTCCTTCCTTCCTTCCTTCCTTCCTTCCTTCCTTCCTTCCTCTTTTTCTCTCTTCCTCTCTCTCTCTCTCTCTCTCTCTCTCTCTCTTTTTAATAAGGTTTTTGTCATAGGGTGCATACACTTGCCAGAGAGGCAGAGAGAGAAAGTGAGAAATCACCCCTCCCCCCAGGGGGGATGGCTATGTTGCAATCCCTTCTCCTTCATTCTCCTCTTGGGATTTTGGGCATGCACACACATGTACCCAGTGTAATTTTTAAGCCATCAGATCTGGGATCTGAACCGTGATGAGCCATGTGGGAATATAGTGCCTTTAACAAACACCATGCTACCTACTGTCTCTGAACTAAACTCTTGTTAGTTTAGGTAGCTCTTACTAACTAACCTCTGCTCAAAACAGAGAGTTGAACTAGATTCCATGGAGGACTGCCCTGGCAATCTGCATTTCATTTTATTATTATTTTTTTAGAGAGATTTTTGCTATAGGGTGCGTGCCCTTGCTGGAGAGACAGAGAAAGGCAGAGAGACAGAAAGCAAGAAATCATAATGGACAGACAACAATCCCTTTTCCTCCATTCCCTTCCTGGAATCTTGGACATGCACGCACACATGCCCGTCATGAGTTTCAAGCCTCCGGGTCCAGGACTTGAACTGCAGTTGACCATGTGGGAGTCCAGCGATGTAACCATTACATGATCTGCTAAGCCCAGCAATCTGCATTTTAAACAGGTCTTTCTTATACACTCTGAAGCAGGGCACTCCAACGACAATATAACATGAGCCACAGTGCAAACCACACATGTCACTTTGAACTTTCTGGCAGCCATATCAAAAAATTAAACAGAGAAAGGTGAAATTACTCTTATCTTAAATTTGCCAGAGGGTTCATGCACCCACCAGAGAGAGACAGAAACAGAGGAGAGAGGGAGACAGAGACAGCAACCCTCAATGGGGCATGGTCAGGCCACAATCCCTTCTCTACCATTCCTCCATCTGTTGGGATTTTGGGCTTGCATGCACACACATGTGCTTGGCATGTTTTTCAAGCCACTGGGGCTGGGATTCAAACCATACAGTTGGCCATATGGGATCTGGGACCTGGCTCTCTTAAATACTGGCCATGAGGCTTACCCAGGTGAAATGAATTTTAACATATATTATCAAACCTGATATATCCAAAATAACAGTAATCAATATAAAATATTAATGAGATATCTTTCATTATTTTGATATTATCTTTGAAATCCAAAGTGTACTGTATACATATGGCCCATCCCCATTTGGACAAGCCCCATTTAAGGTGCCTGATAGCCATGTAGCCAGTGGCTCCAGGAATGGACAGTGCAGCTTTACCGTTTGAGCCCCATTGGCTCATTCAGATGAGAGTTCCATGCCTGCAGCACTCCATGTGCATACTTGGTTAAAGGAATAGTGCTGCTTTCTTTAGGGAGGAGAGTAAGTATTTAGGAAGGTAATCTACCAGTATGTGAGTAGTGAAGTTAAGTATTTCAAGATCTCGGATTTCATTTTTAAAGGGAAAATATTGCTACTTTACTTTTTAAAAACACTGTCTTTTATTTTATTTTATTTGGAGAGATTTTTGCTATAGGGCACATGAGCTCTTCAGAAAGACAGAGAGAGAAAGACAGACAGAAAGCAAGAAATCGCCTCCCCCGGGGGGGATGGTCACTCCACAATCCCTTTGCCTCCATTCTCCTCTCGGGATCTTGGGCATGCATGCACATGCGTCCAGTGTGAGTTTAAGCCACCAGGTCTGGGACTTGAATCACAGTTGACTACATGGTAGTCCAGCGACATAGCCATTATGCCAACTGCTGGTCTCCACTGTCTTTTTATTTTAAAAATCAGTTACAATAGCTCACTAAAGGCTGTAGCATATATAAAATTGTGGGGCCCATGAAATTCTGTGCATTAGATATAGTTACACCTGCTCTCTTGTGCTTCAGAAATCGCAACAGAATGTAAATAAGCAAAGGTGTCATTCTTACAGAGATGATCATCAATCTACTTTAGCTATTGGAAAATAAATAAGTTGAATTAAGGCGGCCAGCAGGTGGCATAGTAGTTAAGGTACTGGACTCTTATGTGGCCAGCTGCAGTTTGAGTCCCAGATTAGCAGGCTTGAAAAATCATGCTGGGCATGGATGCGTGCATGCCCCAAATCCCAAGAGAAGGATGGAAGAGAAGGGTTGCAGTGTGGCCGCCCCCAATTGGGGGAGGGAGTGATGTCTCACTTTCCCTCTCACTGCTGTCTCTTTCTGGTGAGTGCGTGTACCCTATGGCAAAAACCTTTTAAAAAAGTTGAATAATGCTGTACTTTATTAGTATAAACAAGTTCATTATAACACATCCCACAGCTGCCAAAATGTTGTGGCTGAGGATCCCAGCTCTGGAGCATCTATGAGATGGCTGTATGTCTGCACATTGAAATCCCTTGGGTGAATTCAGTGGTGAACGCATGCCTTTCCCAGAGATTCTGATTTATTGGGTTGTTGGAAAAATCATAACACATTTCTCTGATTTTCTTTTTAAATTTTTTTTCTGTCTTTGTTTTTGTTTTCTTTTTTGTTGTTGTTGTTTTGTTTTTGTCTTTGCCAACAACCCAATAATTAGCTTAGGATGTGGCCTGGGCATCAGAATTTAAAAACATTTCCCGGGTGAGTCTAATAAGTTGCAAAAATTGAGAACCGCTGTTGCAAATGTAAGTGTCCTTCGAATAATTTTTCCTCTCATTCTTTTCTTTCTTTTTTTAAATGAGAAGACAGATATTGACTGATTTTTTTAAGGGGCTTTTGCCATAGGGTGAGTGTGCTGGCCAGAGAGACAGAGAGGAAAAGTGAGAGGGGACAGCGATGCCACAATCTCTTCTCCTCCACTCTCTTCCAGGGATCTTGGGTACACACATACATGCACCTAGAGTGATTTTCAAGCCATCAGGTCTGGGACGCAACCTGCAGTTGGCTATGTGGGGTTCCAGAGCCTGAACCACCACACCATCTGCTGGCCCTGAGTTTGATTCTTGACAGAACCTCATGTCTAATCCTCCTTTCCCAGCCTCCCATTTGCTAGCACTAAGGTGTGTGCCACCATGCCTGGCCTGTTTAGGCTGGGTCAGAAATTGAACTCGGGTCTCCTATGTGGCCTCAGCTGCTGAGTAGCAGGATCTTAGCAGGGTGTGCCATCAAGACCGAGCCCTCTCTCTCATTCTTCACCCAGAGGAAATGGGTTTTTAGTACAGGTGTATGAAGTTGAGTCCCACAGTTAGACACTGGCAAGCGGTCCGTGCTGTGGGTGGTGCACTCAGGCAGATAAGACAGATATTGCTTTATTATTCTATAACATACTGATCGTTATTTTGAGCTCCCATTCTGTAAAAGGATGTGTATTAAGTTCCCCCCATTGGGTCTCCCACCTTTACTCCTGATTTGGGGAGGCCTTACGTGGTTGTGACTAGGAAGGCCAT